ATTGGCTGGGTGTGGTGGCTCACGCCTGTAATCCCAGCACTTTGGGAGGCCAAGGTGGGTGGATCATGAGGTCAGGAGTTCGAGGCCAGCATGGCCAATGTGGTGAAGCCCCATCTTTACTAAAAATACAAAAATTAGCCAGGCATGGTGGCAGGCACCTGTAATCCCAGCTACTCAGGAGGCTGAGGCAGGAGAATCACTTGAACCTGGGAAGCGGAGGTTGCAGTGAACCGAGATCATGCCCTTGCACTCCAGTCCGGGCAACAAGAACAAGACTCTGTCTCAAAAAAATAAAAATCAGTAATTAATTATAATGAATGATGCTGTAGCAGAGAGTGTGGGCGTTACAGTAAGAACCAGTGGTCACTAAACTAGGTGACCAAGGGAACATGTAGAGTTTTCTCTTCCAAATAGAAAGAACTACTCATTAGAGGGATATGGCCTGTCAGAGAGGGTGCCAGAATGGGATTCTCTGCTCCCACACTGACTGCCACACGTCTTTGCCAGCTACAGAAGCTTGTGGGGGTAGAAGTGTGGGTAACACCATGCTGGCCTCTGTGGGTGGCACAGAGGAGGCAGAAGGTGGATGAGAGGGGCTTGCCTCTGGGGAGAGAGGGCACTCTTGTCGGGCAGCTGAGAATGACCTCCAGCATCACCATGGAACCCGCTGAAGATGCTGCTTTCTTACTGAGAAAGGATGTTCTGCAGAGAGGATGTTCTGCAACTGAAGCAGACCTTACTCTATGAACTGTTCATATTAACCATTTTGGATGGAAACCTTGAAATATGACTTTCTAGCTTTCTTAAAAAGAGGATCCTCAACTGGATCTAAACCGGAGGACGACCTATCATTCACTTCTGTGCTGGACGGTGATTTGGCCATGTTGCTGGGTCTGTCCAGGTGAATATAGCTCTTAGCTCCTGCACGAAAAAAACCCAAACTCCCAGACTTTTGGAATTTATCAGTTTGATTTTTTTTTTTTTTTTTAGACAGAGTTTCGCTCTTGTTGCCCAGGCTGGAGTGCAATGATGGGATCTTGGCTCACTGCAATCTCTGCCTCCCAGGTTCAAGTGATTCTCCTGCCTCAGCCTCCCAAGTAGCTGGGATTACGGGCATGCACCACCACGCCTGGCTTATTTTATATTCTTAGTAGAGTTGGGGTTTCTCCATGTTGGTCAGGCTGGTCTTGAACATCCGACCTTAGGAGATCCACCCACCTTGGCCTCGCAAAGTACTGGGATTACAGTCATGAACCACCGCGCCTGGCTCATCCGTTTGATTTTTATGTTTTTTTTGTTTTTGTTTCTCCTTAATTTTTCACTGTGAAACATATGAACATATTTTGCTGTAAAATAGGCAAGTGTCTCAAGTCACTTTCTTATACATTCCATCTGAGCTGCTTCTAATATTCTTGGACTTGTAAAGGAAATGATTGGCCTTGTAAGAATTGTGAATGAAGTACGAGTCAGTAGGTTTAGACTGGGAAAGGCCTGAGGAGTTCTCCTCTAAGTTCAGTGATTGAATTCTGTGATATTTTGACTGTTCAGAGGCCTTCTATGTTTTCTTTTGGTCTTTATTTGATCCAGCCTAGACAAATTGACCCCTAGAGAGAGGGCGACAGCATGCATAATTTGTGCATAAGGTTTTTCCCAAGGGCAATAAATCAGAAGGAAATAATATTGGTACGTAGATAATTTTAGTTCAAAGATGGCCAAACATACACATATACCTATGCACTAACACACACACACACACACACACACACACACACACACACACACACACACGGAGGAATGCCAATGAGAGACAAAGCCACAAAACCAACTCGCCTGGTTTTTCACTTTTATATCTCAGTTCCCTAAAAAGTTGTCTGAGAACAAATAATTAAAATCTTAACATTTTCAAATGGGAAAGAGCTTTCAAAGTCCTTTAGTTTTGCTCCCCCTTTTTTTTAGTTCAGGAATCTCTTTTATTACCTCCTGGATAGACGGGCACTTGAACCCCCTTCTTGCATGGATCCAGTAATGGGAAGCTCTGCTTCTGTACATGTGAATGGTTATGATGATTGCTCTCCGTGCTTTTGAGAGGAAGGACTAAGTCTTACGGGTGAAATTTACTTTCTGAAGTCTGATTTTATCCATGGAAATCTGTGACAGGAAGTAACAAAACTACACCCCGGCCACATCTGATCTGCATTTTGTATGCAGATATTAGGCTTTCTGTAGTGTTCTACTGTGGATGTCCTTTGGGGGTTAAGTGATGAGAGCACATCTGTGTGAATGGGGGGACAGATCTTTCCTGTGTGGGGTGGACATTCCTGGTGTCAATTGTCTTGGAAACACTAAGCTCTGAAAGAGAAATTGAAAAGGCTAGTTTAACTGGCTGGAGAGGGAACGTCTGATCTCTGAGTCTTACTTCTTAGGCTTGAACTCGAGACATCTTGAAGTTTTGAGAATCTGTGTGGGTGAGAGTAGGGCTGATGGACATTATCCCAGGGAAGAAGGCAGGTAAGCACCTTGTCTTGTAGAGAACACAAGTGGAAGTTAAGTGAGCCAATCTTGAAAGCTATGACCATGATTAACATTACGTGTTGTGTTTACTTCCCCCTTGTCATCCTTGAGCCTTTGGAAATGTCTGGTTTAAATGTTCCAGCCCGGCCTCACTGTGTAATGGCATCATTGGAATTGCTGAGGCTCAGCGTTTATTTCCCTAGAACATTAGAGGGAGGATGGTGCTCTCTGAAGCCTCTGTGGGTTTTGGTGATTATGGAGACTTTCAACAAAAAAGTGAGTATTGGAGAACAAGAGTTGGACCCAAGGTCTACCCTCTTCTTTCCACATGGTGATTCACCCATCACTGCCATTCTTTTATTAAGCAGTGGTCAGATTTCCTACAAAAGCAATCCTGTGAATTGGTCTGAAATCTGTCTTCCTGTAACTTCCCCTCATAGGACTTAGTCCTTCCTCTCAGGAAGGTGGGCAACTTCCTGACAGGAAGGACTAAAAGCACAGAGAGCAATCATCACAAGCATTCACATTCACCGAGTGCTTACTATGAGCTGGGCACTTTAATGAACATTGTACTGTATCTCATATATACTGTTATCCCATTTTACAGATGAAGAAATTGAGGCTGAGGGAGGTAAAATAACCTGTGCAAGGCCAGACCCCAAATGAGTGGCAGGATTTGAACTCAAGCAGTCTGATATCAGAGCCCACTGTCTTGAACTCCGAAGTACCACTTGTCTCAATGACAGAGATCTGCCTCCTGTGATCTTGCCTCCTTGGCCCTTTTTGGTCCAGGGGGAATCCCCACCCCAGCCCCTTGCTGTTTCTCTTTGTGCCTGGAGTAGAAGGAAGGCATCCCTGCCCAGTTTCTCTTGCCCTGGGGCAATGGAAAGAACGCAAAACCCTAGTCCACCTGACCTCCAGTGACTTGTCCCACTTTGGCCCCCAGGACAGCCTCGTGGAAGCCTTCAGAAGCACCATTTTAGCGGCCTTCCCTTTAGGAGGCTGTATTTTTCCTGTCTGTCCTCAACATGTCTTCTGCCAGAACAACAAGCTCAGTTTTCCCTTCTGATAAATCTGGTCACCCTAAATATGGGGCTTTGAGCAAACGGGAGCGGCTGGCCCCACGCAGCCCTCATTTCGAAATGCAGATTCACACGGGCTGCTATTTTGGAGGTCTGGTTTCTTTCCCCACACGCAGTGGTTTTAAGTAAGAGGGAAGGGATCATGACAGAATCTTGGCAGGGGAAAGATGCTAGGAGAGAAGATGCACCTGGGCAGTCTTTGCTTCCCAATGTCCCCAAACACTGGCCCTTCAAGAGGCTGGGGGGTGGGGAAAAAAGAGGGTCCATGGCCACATCACACTGGGATATACCGCTTACCCAGCCCCTCCTGCAGAGCAGCAGTATGCATGTTAAACAGCTGAAGTCCTAGCAGTAAAGAAGCCTAACTGGTTTTGTTTAGCCCAGTTTTTCCATTTAAAAATGTAGCCTAGTAAAATTTTGCAAAACAATGATGCAGAGCAGAGCTTGCAAACCAGTACCGATGGTCTGATGTCTTCCTGGGAGAGGTTCGATTTGGCCTATAATGTGCTTAAATTTTGCTTTCAATTAGTCACTAACATTTCACAATTGGAATATTTCTCCAATAAAGAGGGTATTCCTCTTGAAAAATCAGAAGATTACGGACCTGGAATCACCGGTCTGTATTCCTGCCTGACTATGGTCATCTGGAAACCAGGTTGTGATTTTTAACTTGCTGTAGCCCCTGTGTCTCCTTAGGGAAAGACAGCTATCTCCTGCTCTACTCATTTCTGATGCTCCTCGGGTTCCAGAGTCCCCCAAGCTTGCCTTCACTGGTGTGGAGGTTTCCTTGGGTAGGCGTTGGCCTAGGTGACCACTGGGGCCCATTCATCCATTCATTCATGCAACAGATACTGATTGAGCTTATACTGTGTGCGGCACCCTGTGGATACAAGATGGATAAAACGGCCCCTGCCCTCTGGATTCCGGCGCTGGCATTCTAAGATTCTAGTTGGGAATTGCAGAAGGAGGAGGAGGGAGGGGTTGAGGAGAGGGGAGCTGACAAGGCTGCAACCAAGCTTCCCGACTAGCCCCGCGTGCTTGCCAAAGGCTTGCCATTCTCCGTCGCTTTCTCCACTGGCTCACCGAAGGGAGCTGCCCCTCCAACAGCCACGGTGCGCCTTAGAGAAATAGCCACCGACTTGCTCTGTGACTTAGACGCGTTGCGGCTCATCTCAAGGCCTCAGTTTCTCCATCTGTAGAATGACCCGGATGGACTAGAAAATGATGGGCTTTCCTTCCAGGGCTGGCATTCAGAGAGGCTAAGACTCCATGATCAAGGAATGTCTGACCCAGCCATTCCAGAGCTGTTCCATCGAACTCCAAGCAGCCCCACTCCCTCCTTTCCTCATCCCGGTCAGGGGCGGGCGCTGGAGCCGGCAGGCCGGGAGGGCCTGGGCTTCCCGCCCGGGGGTGGAGCCGCTGCTCCGCGTCCCGCCCCTCCACCTGGGGATCGGCCCCGGCAGATGTTACAACTTTTTCGAATTCTCTCCCGCGTTGTCCCCTCGACCCGCCCAACTCGTGCCTCCCTCCCCTTCCCTTCTGGGGTCCTGCCCACCTCCCTGCAGGGAGCTGGACTGTTCTAAGGACTCCGGGTGGGGCGAGAGGCCGGGAAAGCAGAGGCGAGAGAAATTAGGAGGCGGGAGAAATCCAGGGCAAGAAGGAAGAGGGGAGTCAGAGAATGGTAGAGAGCACTTTTTGGAAGCCGCCACGCCGCGTCTCAGGCTGGCCGGGCTGAGCTGGGGAAGAGGGAGCGAAGGCGGCTCAGGGCCGGCGCTCAGGCAGCGGGAGACAGCTCGGCGAGGGCCTGACCTCCCCAGAGCGCCCCGCTGCGGCCGCGCAGATCTGACCCTGCCGTCCGGCAGCCCGTCCCGGACCAGACACTGGGCCGCCCCGGGAGGCGCTGAACGCCCTCGCAGCATCCAGGCCGGCAGGCCGGTGGTGCGCCCTGGGCGCGCGAGGTGGTGAGGCCCCAGGTGTCTTGCGCGCCGGGACGCGCGGGCCGGCTTGGCGATGCACGCCCTCACCGGCTTCTCCCTGGTCAGCCTGCTCAGCTTCGGCTACCTGTCCTGGGACTGGGCCAAGCCAAGCCTCGTGGCTGATGGGCCCGGGGAGGCCGGCGAGCAGCCCACGGCCGCTCCGCCCCAGCCTCCGCACATCATCTTCATCCTCACAGACGACCAAGGCTACCACGACGTGGGCTACCATGGTTCAGATATCGAGACCCCTACGCTGGACAGGCTGGCGGCCAAGGGGGTCAAGTTGGAGAATTACTACATCCAGCCCATCTGCACGCCTTCGCGGAGCCAGCTCCTCACAGGCAGGTAGGCGTAGCTTAAGGCCTTGGGGCTGGTCACCTAGGCCCCAAATCAACCCATTTTGTAGATTTCTCCTGACAGTACCACCCCATGCTGGGATCTGGGAAATCTCCTATTGGCTGTGTAATCATTAGTAAGTCCCTTGTCCTCTCTGGGCCTCAATTTCCCTTCCCTTACACTGAATGGGCTTCATCATCTTTGAGGTCTTCTTGCTTTCATGTTCCAGGACACTCACATTCCACACAATGTGGAGACATCTGGTCATCCCTTTGTTAGAGGAACATGGCAGCCTCCGACATTTATTGCTGCTTCTATTTATGGACGCTGAGCAAGTCATTTAATTTCTCTAAGCCCCAGTTTTCTTGTCCATAAAATGGAGCAAAGAACAGTTTTCATCTTGAAAAGAAGTGGCAAAGGGGGAGTGAGTTGTGTGTGACCTGCCTGGCTGTCAATATATGGCAGGCTCTATGTCACCTGAGGGATTCAGGTCCCCATACTGTTTGATGAATACATTGGGAGAAGACCAAGGAATTGATAGGTGGAAGAGAAAGACACATACAATGCCATGACCTGTGTAGTCTTAGGCTGGTTACTTCATTTCTCTGAACCTCTGCTTTTTCATCTGCAAAATCCTCCCAGGTTGGCTGGGAGCCCCAAGTAGACATGCTGCTTTTTCGGTAAGGAAACGTCCACAGGTGAGGCAGCAGGATTACAGGATGAAAAGAGCAGGGAAACAGGAGGTGGGGGTATGGAAGGCAAACTCTGGCCACTTAGGAGAAAATCCTTTGGCAGAGCTGAAGCTAATTCTCCTTGGATAGGGTCCAAGGCATGCTTTCTCCCAAGTTCCACCCAACAGCCACTAGTGTGATCTCAGGAACCAGAAGCCTTAGTCGTCCTGTTTCTTAGTCTCACTATTTCTTGGTTGGGAGCAATTGAGGCAAGGATGCAGGGAGGGCCCAGCTTGGGGCCTGTGCTCAACTTCAGGGTCTGTGGGAGATGGGATTGAGAGGCCAGGTGTTTGGCAGGGATGCTGGAGCTGGGAATCAAATGGTGCCCTTTCTTCTTCTGATCTGGCACTCGGCGTTCAGATCCAGGAACCGGAAGGAGAACAGAAGAAAGGAGGGGTGTGAATGGGTTGGGGTGGGGTGCAGGGTGGTTGTGTAGTGGTGAAGACCCATGTTGACCCGCAGAAGAGGGAGGAATCTGCATTCCCAAGAGTTGTACACAACTTAATGTCTCTGTCCTAAGAAGTGACTTTTGGTTTAAGCAGAGGAATGAACAGACAGCTGGCCAGTGCCTGCCCTCCACCCCCTGCAGTTGGCTCCATCTCACTGATGCTTATAGTGCTCATTAGTGTTTGTTAAGACATCCAGTTGTGTTTTGTGATGCTGGAGAGAGGCAAAGTTTCTCATGTGACTCACTTGCAGATGGGCTTTGGTGACTCTTAGCTGGACCATCCACTTTACAAACCAGTGCTCCACGGCACCCCACCTCTATGAAGACAGACCCAGTTATGACTCAAGGCCCCAGGGTGCTTCTCATATCAATTCCAATCACTTATTAGCTTGACTGAGGCCTGGAGAGGCCGTTATCACCAAACGATTTTGAGCATGAGTTGAGTAGACCCGGGTTCAAAGCTTAGCTCCACTGCTTGTCAGCTGTCTGAACTTGGGTCGTTGCTGCACTTTTGACTCAGTTTCATCATATGTGGAATGGGGATGGTAATAAACTTCCCCGCAGATTTTTAAAATGAGATTTAAATTAGATGATGTGTGTGTATGGCACGTAGTGTTAAAAACGGCTGTAGTAGCTAATTATAGCTAACAACAGTATCAGCTTTAAGATAATGAAACCAAAACAGAGAAACTCCTCCTGTGCTCTGGTTGAAGATGTCAGGTACTCAGGGCTTGGCTTAATTTGGATGCCTGGGGGTGAAAAAAACGTGTGGGATTCTAACATACTTGTGAAGTTCCAGGCTTCTTATGTACTCTGGGACTTTCAAGACTTGAGTAAAGGCAAGACACCATAAGCAGATCACATGGGACCCTCGACCACAGAAGGAGGAAGCTGGGATGAGAATGAGTAAGTGAGGAATTCAGGATTCGCCTAACCATTCACTCCTGCCTCAGGGTGGTAGCCTGGAGCAAGGGTCATATGGGCTCACAGGCAGGCACATGGGAACTGGTCGTGAAAAACTGGGAAACCAGACGAGTCTTAGAGATTTCCCATTTCAACCAACTCCTACACAGGAGCAAACTGAGGCCCCCATATGGGAAGAGACATGGCAACTCAGTTTGCTGAAAAGGAGTCCCTGCTTGGACTCTACTTGTATTTATGTTCAAGTCCTGGCTCTGTTCCTGACCACTGAGTGACCTTGGGCAAGGCCCTTCCCTTCTCTTAAAAAGACCTTAGGTCCTTTTTAAGATGAGATGAGTAAACTAGGGGATGAATTGTGTCCCTTCTGGCTCTAAAACCCTCTTGAGTGTCATTCATTTATTCATTTCATAAATAATCGAGTGCTCTTTGAACATCACTTGGGTGCTAGGAATAGAAGGTTGAATAAAGGACGGCCCCATTACATGTCACTGGGCCCAGAAGCATGTGCAAATGAGTATAATCCCATGGCCAAGTAAGAAAATGATGGTGTGTACTAAATGCTAGAGCAACCCAGAAGCAAAAGTGACTAATTCTTTAGGAGAGTTATGAAAGACTTTATAGCATGGATAACATTTGGGCTGAGCTTTGAAGAGTGAGTTAGAATTTGCCTGGGAGAGCAGGGCTTGCTCTAGGCCCCAGAGCAAGTTAACAGCTTAGAGCTTAGGGATTCTGGAGCCAGACTGCCTGGGTTATAAATCCCATTCCAACTACTAGCTGTGTGAATCACCAAGCAAGTAATTTAATTTACCAAGCCTCGGTTCCCTTATTTGGAAAATGGGAACAATAATATGTACCTTCTAATTTGTGGGGAGGATTTGGTAAGATCATTCACGTAAGAGGCTTAGTGTAATGCCAAGCTCACATTGAGTGCTCGGTATTAGCTGTTGTTATTGTCATTATTAACCTGGGTTCAAATTTTAACTCCCCAGCTTCCTAGCTGTGTGATCCTAGGTGAGTGGTTTAACCATTCTGAGCTTCAGTCTCCTCAGCTGTAAAATGACAATATGATCGACTTCCAGTGATTTTGAGGATTGGATGAGATAATGCATTTGAGGTGCTTAGCACATGAGATAATACCTGGTGGTTGCCGTAATTATTTTTGCTGGTAGCGCTGGGACCAGAGCCCACCTCACAGTGGTATTGGGGACTTGGTGGCCAGAGCAATGGTCTGTAGCTCACCTGTGCCTTCTGTGCCTTCCCCTCCTCCCCACCAGGTACCAGATCCACACAGGACTCCAGCATTCCATCATCCGCCCACGACAGCCCAACTGCCTGCCCTTGGACCAGGTGACACTGCCCCAGAAGCTGCAGGAGGTGGGTTATTCCACCCACATGGTGGGCAAGTGGCACCTGGGCTTTTACCGGAAGGAGTGTCTGCCCACCCGCCGGGGCTTCGACACCTTCCTGGGCTCGCTCACAGGCAATGTGGACTATTACACCTATGACAACTGTGATGGCCCAGGCGTGTGTGGCTTCGACCTGCACGAGGGCGAGAATGTGGCCTGGGGGCTCAGCGGCCAGTACTCCACTATGCTTTATGCCCAGCGTGCCAGCCATATCCTGGCCAACCACAGCCCACAGCGGCCCCTCTTCCTCTACGTGGCCTTCCAGGCAGTGCACACACCCCTGCAGTCGCCTCGTGAGTACCTGTACCGCTACCGCACCATGGGCAACGTGGCCCGACGGAAGTATGCGGCCATGGTGACCTGCATGGATGAGGCTGTGCGCAACATCACCTGGGCTCTCAAGCGCTATGGTTTCTACAACAACAGTGTCATCATCTTCTCCAGTGACAACGGTGGGCAGACTTTCTCGGGGGGCAGCAACTGGCCGCTCCGAGGACGCAAGGGCACTTATTGGGAAGGTGGCGTGCGGGGCCTAGGCTTTGTCCATAGCCCCCTGCTCAAGCGAAAGCGACGGACGAGCCGGGCACTGATGCACATCACTGACTGGTACCCAACCCTGGTGGGTCTGGCAGGTGGTACCACCTCAGCAGCCGACAGGCTAGATGGCTATGATGTGTGGCCAGCCATCAGCGAGGGCCGGGCCTCGCCACGCACGGAGATCTTACACAACATTGACCCACTCTACAACCACGCTCAGCATGGCTCCCTGGAGGGGGGCTTTGGCATCTGGAACACGGCTGTGCAGGCTGCCATCCGTGTGGGTGAGTGGAAGCTGCTGACGGGAGACCCCGGCTATGGCGATTGGATTCCACCACAGACACTGGCCACCTTCCCGGGTAGCTGGTGGAACCTGGAACGAATGGCCAGTGTCCGCCAGGCTGTGTGGCTCTTCAATATCAGCGCTGATCCTTATGAACGGGAGGACCTGGCTGGCCAGCGGCCTGATGTGGTCCGCACACTGCTGGCTCGCCTGGCCGAATATAACCGCACAGCCATCCCGGTGCGCTACCCGGCTGAGAACCCCCGGGCTCATCCTGACTTTAATGGGGGTGCTTGGGGGCCCTGGGCCAGTGATGAGGAAGAAGAGGAAGAGGAAGAGAGGGCTCGAAGCTTCTCCCGGGGTCGTCGCAAGAAGAAGTGCAAGATTTGCAAGCTTCGATCCTTTTTCCGTAAACTCAACACCAGGCTGATGTCCCAGCGGATCTGATGGTGGGGAGGGAGGAAACCGTCCTCTGGGTGTTCCCCCCACTCCGGCTTGGCCCTGCTCTTTCTCAGGGAGAAGCCTGTCACGTCTCCATCTACAGGGAATTGGAGAGTGTAGAGTCCCTTGGTTGAACTGGGTGGGGAACCTAGTTGGGGGTGGGTGGGAATAAACCAGACTGGGATATCCGTGTCTCAGTCCTGCCTCCTCACTGACTTGCTCTGTGACCTCAGGTGACCCGCATGAGCTTTTGACCTTGGTTTCCTCATCTGTAAAATGAGCTGTAATGACTTTGTGACTCTGTGGTGTGGCCCCGGAGCCTGGGGCCATGGTGGAGTTCCTGGCCGGCCTTGCCACCTGGCAACTCATTTAAGGCTTCTCCCTTAATGTGGGATCTTTATGGTGGTGTTTGGGTGAGGGGCCGCATGGGGGGGATCTCAAGGCCTGGCCCCCAGCGGAAGGAGGCATGGCAATCTGGCTGCTTTCTACAGGGACCCCCTGAGCGCTGAGGGTGGAGGCGCAGGGATCAGGGCGGAGGGGTTGAACCTGGGTCTTCACATGGCCTAGGCCAGTCGTCAGGTCAGACTGGTGTTGGGGGCTGTGGTGCAAAGCTCTTCTTCCTGCCCCTCCAGGATCCAGAGAAATTGGCTGGGCCATTAACCACTGCAGCACTGAGGGTGGTGGAAACAACTGTGAAGAGCGCCCGAACCAGTACTCAGGACACCTGGGTTCTCCTCTGACCTTGGGCACACTTCTTCCGCTTTAGGCCTTGATTTCCCCACCTACAAGTGGGGATGCTAGCCCTGGCTCTGCCTCCCTCACGAGGCTGGGAAAGACTGGCCAAAGCGAGGTTGTGGAGGAGCTTGTGAACTTGATTAAAGTGTCATGACGTGGAAGCGAGGGCTGCAGTGCTATCTGACTATGAGTACGTGTGGGTGTGCGCAGGTGTGTCCTGGGGGCAGGTGTGAACTCACAGTTGGCCAAGTGAACAGGAGGGGAGGTGGACAGACTGGCTAGGAGGTAGAAGGGATGGGAGTCCTGCTGCAGACCCACTGTGTGACCTCAGGCAAATCTCTGACCCTCTCTGGGCCTCAACATTCCACTCTGTTCAGTGGATGAGCTAAGAGCATTTGACCGTTCTGGGCTAGCGTGCATGTGTGTGTGCGCATATGTGTGTGTGCATGTGTGTGTCTCTGTGTATGTGTGTGTGTGTTGGGGTGGGGGCAGGCTGAGTGGTGGAGAGGCCACGGCGGTTGCAAAGCCTGCCTGCCGCCTAGCGCGCCTGCATCCGCACACTGCGTTCTGCGTATCTCCCTTCAGGTTCCAGTCGGCGCAGTGTGTGTAGGCGAAAGCCCTGCTGTGAATTTTGAAAATAGTTATTTTTGTCACTGGCAAAGGAGGCCTGTTAGGACTCATCAGCTTGTGGATGAGCAGGATGGGTGGGGTGGGTGCAGTATGTGTGGGGGTTCAGGTATTGGTTACAGAGCCACATCCCCACCGCAGAGGTGGCTGAGTCCACGAGTGAGGGTCTGGCCTGAGGCTGCTGGGTGGAGGTGACCATTCACGCGCTAGGCCTCTTCCTCCTGGCCCTGTCCTTTTTACCCCTTATCACCTCCCCCAACTAGAATCCTTCCCTGCCTCCATGATGTTGATGCCTGGCTGTGGTGGGCAGGACCCAGGACAGGCAGAGGCCTCTGGATTCCAGTGAATTTCAGTCTGCTCGGGAGGGAGGCTCTGAAGAAATCACCTGCTAAGGCAGTGGCCCAGGCCTGACACACCCTGGGAGATGAGCTGTCCATAGCTCGCCCACTCCTCAGGGTACTCCAGCTCTGCTGGGTGCTTGTCCCAGCTGTGTGGGCGGGGCCTTTCCAGGGTGGCATGGAGCCAGGGCTTCCCTGCCACTCCAGGCTTGCACGAGTTGCATGGAGGCCTCTCCCGTGCCTGCTGAGTCAGCCCTGCCCAAGGCCTACCCTCCAGCTTCAGTCCCCACTTCTTTCCTGCAGCCCCTGCCCTTTGGGGTCACAAGTTCAGGACCATGAATGGCCCTTTCTGCTGTCCCCTAATCACTGAGGCTTACTCCCCCTGTCACCAACCTAAATCAAGAAAGACCAGCTGAGGAGGGGCTGGCACCTGTTCCTGGTGCCCTAAGAAGGAGGCTTGGTCCCAGGTTTCGGTCCAGTCTCAAATCCAGTCCAGAACTTGGCTGGCTCAACCTAGCACCCAGCAAACAGCCTGGTGGCCCCACGCAAGCTTGAGCCTGCAACCTGGTTTAGGGAAGCTGGCGGCTGGCCTAGGCCTGAGATTGGTGGAGTCTTGGGTGCCCCAGAGCATTCAAGCACTACGATGACAGGCTCAGCCTGTTGTGACTTCTGCTCTTCCCAGCAATTAGCATGGCTCCCACCAGCCCCCTCCTATCTCCTGTGGCCCAAGTTTCCTCCAGCCGGGGCACCTGGGTCTGGACTCTGCCAGGCTGCCAGTTGGCACTGCCAGGCAGGTGCTTGTGCCATTTGAGCACCTGTGCTGGTGGGGAGGGAAGGGAAGGGAGATCAGAGACAGCTCCGGCTCCTCAGGCCACAGATCTGGGGAAATGGAGCCCAGAGATGCCTGGGGAGACCCCTTGTCTCTCTCTCGGCTGCACCAGATGGCAGCTGATCTGCCAGCTATAGAGGCCAGAGCCAGGGGGCAGCCTAAGCTGGGCCCTGCCAGTGGGGTCGTGGGCTCTGGTGACCCATCTCCCAAGGGCCAAGAGATAGTGCCTCACCTGGGGGGGCCGGTGCTCTGGGCTCCATCTTTCTCAGGAGAAAGTGGAGGTTCCACTGGGGAGACCTGCAAGCTCTTCCAGGACTCGAACTCAGGCCCTCTAACTGCAGGGCGTGCTGTGTGGCCCTTGGCCCAGAAGCCACTGTCCTCTGTCTCATGGCTGTCTGCTTCACTCTCCCCTGCACGGAGTGCCTCCTGTGTGGGGAGACCTCAGGGACAGTGCTGCTCCCTGACACCTGACTTTCCCCACTTCTTCATGTAGGCCTAGCCTTACTTACTGTAGTGAATGAATCCAATCACCCTCCACCCAGACCCTCAGCAGGACCACTTCTCTCTTGGCCCACTTTCTACCATTCTGCCCCCCACGCTCACTGCCCTTAGTGGGACAGGCCCGTGGGGACCCTTTGGGTGGCATGCTTTCTGTGGTGCCTACCCCGGCCCTGCAGGACCCCGAGGCATTCAGGCATATGTGTGTGAGCGCATGTGTGGGCTGTGGAAGGTGGCATTTGAACCAGCTGTCACAATGCCACTGGGGCTACAATCACCCACTGTGGAACCCAGCCCTGCTCTCCTTTTGTCCCTTCTGTCTCCATGGGGCACTGCCTGTGTTCACATGCCAATGCCTATTCTGGCATGTCAGGGCTGGGTTCAGCAACCTCCGGGGCTCCCACCCCTGGCCACCAGCCCATAGCATGCAGGCCTGCTCTCGAGTGCCACACGCGTGTTGCAGATGGGGGCACACGTGCTGCCTCTTGTGCCTGCCTTGGCCCTGGGGAGTGGGGAGTTTGGCAGGAACAATCCCCCTGATGCAATCATCGGCTCATTCTCTCAGCGCCACAGAGGCACGGCTGGCTCCTCAGTGCCCGCCACCAGCGGGCACAGCTGCTAGCTTCGCGGGCTCAGGGGAGGCGTTGAATTAGCAGTCATGCCTTCTCAGCAGAGTGGCTGTTACCCTCAGGATGGGGTGGTGCCCATCCCAGGCAATGCCCACACCCCTGAGCTAGGCTCTGGAAGCCTCAGAGGCTCAGAGGGGCATGTATATGTGCTCACGTATGACTTTCAGAGGGGACTTCTTCCTCTTCTCCCTCCTTTTCCTCCCTCTTCTCCCTCCTTTTCCTCCCTCTTCTGCCTCTGCAGCCATCTCTCCACCACCGGGGTCCTGCAGCCAGCAACTTGCCCATCCCCCAGGACCACATGCACAGTGCAGACCAGCAGGGGAGGGAAAGAAGAGTGACAGAAAGAGAGGGGGATGGAAACCAGAAAGGAAGTCAAAAGGATGAAAAGGACAGAGAACCGAGAAGGAAAGATGCAAGGGAGGGAAGAGGGAAATTGAGGGGGAGGGGAAGGCAAGAGGAGAGAAGAAAGGAGAGTTGAAGCCCGTCGCAGCGGCTCACACCTGTAATTCCAGCACTTTGGGAGGCCCGGGTGGGTGGATCACAATGTCAAGAGATCAAGACCATCCTGGCCAACATGGTGAAACCCCATCTCTACTAAAAATACGAAAATTAGCTGGGCATGGTGGTGCGTGACTGTAATGCTAGCTACTTGCGAGGCTGAGGCAGGAGCATCGCTTGAACCTGGGAGGCAGAAGCTGCAGTGAGCCCATATCGCGCCGCTGCACTCCAGCTTGGTAACAGAGCAAGACTTTGTCTCAAAAAAAAAAAAAAAAAAAAAAAAAAAGGAGAGTTGAAAGGAGAGATGTGGAAGTAGGGAAGAAAGACAGAGGTGACAGGAGCAGGGCTGTGCTGGCCCTGCTCCCAATGACCACAGAGGCTGCCCCCATGGTCCCCATCACAGACACGGAGAGATGTGGCCATCTTCCTGCCTGTATTCCTTCACACCCTCCTCTGAGGGATGCCAGGGCCTTCCCCACATACTCTGCTCACTTCTGAGCACGCTCCATTTCAGCAGGGGGAATGGGGAGAGGAAACAGGGGTCAGGCCAGCACCCAGCCATGCAGGACTGTCCCGGTTCAGAACTTTATACTTGCATTAATACAGCCTCACAGTCTCACAGCATAGTTGCTTTTTTGTTTTCCTGGTGAATTTTTAAAGCAGCATCATCGTTCCTTTGGCACCCGACAAGCTGGAGAGCCTTGTGATTTCTCTCCTTCTAGATCTAGTCCTTTGTTCTATGGAAATTCCTGCAAACTAGGCTTAGACAAGGTGATCTCCAAACCATGAGCTAAACTCCAGGGCAGACTCAGGGAACAGTGCACTGGAGTGCGGGGACTCAAGACGATGGTGTGTGCTTCCGTGATTCAGGGAGAGGGGTGTGAGGAGAGAGGACTTTTGAGTTTCTTGATAATAATTTCCCATTTGTTGAGCATGTATAGTATCAGCCACTGTGCTTGTCTTATTGAATCCACAGAACAGCCTGGAGGTAGGGAATATTATTGACCCAATTATGCAGATGAAGACACAGAGACACAGAGAAGTTAGGATATTCATCCGAAATCACACAGCCTGTAAGTTGTGGAGTCACCCTAACTACTAAGCAACACTGCCTCTCCTGTCCCTGTGCAACGGCAGGTGACCTCAGTGGTCACTAAGGGCTCTTCCAGCACTTTCTTGTGTGGAAGCCATCCCCTCCTGGGGGACAGGCTAGAGGGTCTGGGGCAGGAGTGGCAGTGCAGCTCTCCCCTACCTCCCCACAGAGGCCTATAGCTTAGCCACCGTGTTCTGTGCCCTGCCCACTGCCCACCAGCTGTGCAGCCCCCGGGCACAGGCCTCTTCTCTCTGCCTCTGAATTGCAACGTTGGCGGCAGAAGCGGGAAGCATATTGTGCGCAGAAACAAAGCTGAGTGGTTTTCCCTTTTTCTGAAGGTGGTAATGGTGCAATTAGTGGCTAAGCCATTACCCCCCTCCTCCCTTGCTCGCTTCCCCTCTTCCCCTCTGCCGCCCTCCCTTTTCTCTCCTGGGATTGTGGCTGAATGGGAGAGCTCGCCCATCATTCTCCCCCACCCCCGACTCCCAGGAGGAGGGGCAGAATGGAGGGGTTATCTGGATGTCTCCAGGGGGTCCCTGGATGTAGGATAGTGAGTCAGGGACTTTGGGGGTTTTGAGAATACCAAGAAGCAGGTAACATCTCCTTCAAGTGAGAGGACTAGCAAGGCGATGTGGAGGCTCAGAAGGGGTGGGCTAGAATCGCTGAGGGTCTGGATGGCTGGATCCTTTTATCCATCCCATGCTCACTGGGGGCAGGTGCTGGCATGAAGCCTCAGCCCACCAAGCTGTGAAATGAGCCAAGGCACCCTCTTTCCTGAGTGCAGAGGGAAGGGGTATGCAGGGTCTGAGATTCCAAGTCCAAGCTAGAGTGATGGGGTGGTCATGGGCCTGCTTTAAACCTTCATTTTCCTACTCTAGAACCTAGAAAGAGGCCTCCTGTTTATGTAGTTCCCAAAGGCCTTTACAGCCCTTAGCCCATTCCATCTCCATGGCCTTCCTCTGCAGGGCACCTTCGTTCCTCTGTTGTGTAGAAAAGGAGGTAGAGGCTCAGAGAGGATAAGTGACTTGCCCATGATCACACAGCTAGTAGATGTCCAAGAATCGGAGCTCAAACTCAGATCCTTAGGCTTAAATTCCAGTCTCTTTTCTTCTTAACTCCAAGACCTTGAAGAAAGATCTTGTGGCTGTAGGTATGGCTGATACCCTGAAGAGCGGAAGTCAGCAGGGAAGGTGCCCACAACATCTGGGGATGAAGATTTCAGGGCAGGTCTCCGGCTAGTGGCCTAGCCCGGGTAAGCCATGCCATGCTCATCTCCCAACAGCTGCCTCTCGCCTCTTTTACCTTGAGTGGAAGCACAAGCAGAAACTGGGACATGAGCCCCAGGAGACCAGATCTCCACGGTCCCCTTGGGGGCATGGGGTGGGAGAGAGGCTGTAGAAGAGGGCTCGGGACGGGAGCAGCTGTCACAGCTGTGAGAGGTGGGGGTGAGCAGGGCTCAGGGACAGGAGAGGCAGTGTTGCTTAGTAGCAACATTCAGGGCTGCTCCCTCCAGAATCCTGGGGTGTCCTCTGTGCTTCTCCGCCAAGCTAGAGTGCTAGTGTGATAGATACGGTGGTAGAAGAGCTGAGAGAGCAGAAGCATAACAAGAAAGACAGAGGCAGAAGCCAAAAAAAAAAAAAAAAAATACAGAGGGCAACAGAGAGACAGTTAGAGAGACTACAGTGATCCACAGAGGGAGAGCCATCCCCGTGAATTAGCCATCGTTTCCCTGTAAGCCTTAGAACCCAGCTGTTGCCAGGGCAACGGGGCAATACCTGTCTCTCCAGAGATGAAGTTGCCAGGGTAACTGCATCCTGTCATTCTTTCCTGGGGACCATCCGGAATGCGGCACCCACTGGCCGTTACCATGGCAACTGCCTTTTTGCCCCACTTAATCCTATCCCGTCTGCTACAAGGGCCCCACAGTTGGAGGTGGGGGAGGTGGGAAGAGAAAAGATCACTTGTGGATGAAGTTTGTTCTATTCCACCTCCTCCAGCCCCTCCTTGGGTCTGTCACCCCAGGGGTGCTGGGTCCATCCACCCCCAGGCCCACACAGGCTTGCAGTATTGTGTGCAGTATGGCCAGGGCGTCCGAGAGCAGGTTTCGCAGTGGAAGGCAGGCAGGTGTTGGGGAGGCAGTTACCGGGGCAACGGGAACAGGGCGTTTCGGAGGTGGTTGCCATGGGGACCTGGATGCTGACGAAGGCTCGCGAGGCTGTGAGCAGCCACAGTGCCCTGCTCAGAAGCCCCGGTCTCGTCAGTCAAGCCGGTTCTCTGTTTGCACTTGGCAGCACGGGCAGGCGAGTGGCCCCTAGGTCCGGGAGCAGAGTAGCAGTGCCCCAGTCCTAGTCCCCCAGTCCCAAGCCTCACCTGCCTGCCCAGCGCCAGGATGGCCACCATCACCTGCACCCGCTTCACGGAAGAGTACCAGCTCTTCGAGGAATTGGGCAAGTGAGTTGTGTCTCAGGGAGTCCTGGAGGGCATGGTGGGGGGGAGGTCAGTGTCTTGAGCGAGGTGTGTGTGCCTGCCGTGCTTGGGGAGCATTCCTGTGTATACAGATGAAGGCAGACTACATGAGTTTGGGGGTACCTGCCTGTGCACAGAGCGTCCAGAGTCGGGTGTGGGCATGTTTGTGGGTGCACAGATGTGCCAAGCTAGCCAGGCAAGTGTGTATGTAGGGACGAGGGGTTGACAGTGTATGCCAGTACACACGCACACACATACACTCACACACACGCATGCACACAAGTACACACAACCTGGATACACACAGATTCTTAGAGACTCAGGGTTAAAAAGGGATTTTCCTAGTCAGCTGGGTCCAAAGCTGGAATTCCTTCTCCAGTTTTGTCTTAGGTGGCCATTTGGCTTCCACTTAGATACCTCCAGTGACACAGAATTCACCAGCACCTGGTAGTTCTTCCTGACTTTAGACACCTGCAGTGACTGTACAGAGTGGCCAACTTCTCCCTCCCCACCTCCCCCTTCTCAGCTCCTGCCAGGAGTGAGGGCATCAGTACAGTAGGGGTTAATATCTGAGCACGACAGTCTTCCCGGGTGTTGGGAGGTGGGGAGGGGCAATCAGGCAAGCTGTAGCGGGGGCACTGCTGTTTCAGGGGCTGGGGCATGAACGGTGCAGCGGCTCTGGATCTTTGGCAAAGTTGCCCAGCCCAGAGCTCATTTTCTGTCCTGACGGCTGCTGTGGAGAGGAGGGAGGGAGGAGGAGGAAACAGGGGAGCCCCTGTGGGTGGCCCAGTGGGCTGTGGAGTGGCAGGGAAGGGCTCCTGGATGTCCCAGTTGGGTTTCCGGAGGATCCTGGGATGGGTCAAGAGTTGGGTGCATTTTGGAGGCAGAGTTTACCTTGTGGGCAAAGAAGCACCGATGCCCTGTTGGTTTCTGCTGTGGCCGCAGGAGCACAGGGGGGAGGGGCCCTGGAGACAGGTGTGTGCTGCTGTGAGTTCTGAATGTGTTTGCACCAGTGTGCATTTTGAGGAGGAGTGATGTGTGTTGCTGTAAAAGGACTTTTGAGGGAAATTGATTGTGACACTGGGGTACACTTGTGTGGCCCGAAAGGGTGTGCAAGCATTCATGCATGTGCACCAGGAAGAGGTGCTTCATGTGTAAGGCCTGAAAATGCAAGTGTGCCTGGAAAGGGTGCCTATGTCCTGTGAGTATCACAGGAGTGCTGCTGATTGGGTCGAATGAGAGCAAGGATGTGGACATGACTCATTATATGTGCACATGTATGGCAGGTTAGAGCTGTGTGCACATAGGAAGACACATGTGCATGAGGTCTGGGGGTGTGTGAGGATGCTCATGTGAGATGCGGACACAATGGTGTTCCTATGAGGTCTTGACATGAACATCTTTGAAAGCTGGGGTCATGCACACAGGAAGATGTACAAGTGTGTGCACACGCATGTGTGTGCGTGTGTGAGGCCTGGGCTCACAGGCTTGTGTGGGAGTATGGGTGTTATAGACATGTGTGAGCTCATGCTGGTGTCTGCATATGTGCAGGAAGGAGGTGGCCCTGTGACTGTATACGAGAAGGCTGCTTGCACACACACACACACACACGCGCACACACACACACATGCACACACACACACCCAGACTATCCTACAGGCATATACCGCCTCCCATGAGCACACATACCCATGTGTAGGTGTGTGTTCATTCTTATCTGCAGACTTTCTGCTTTTCTGAATGTGCTTTTATTGGGGGTAGGGGCAGAAACAAAATGTTTGCGGCTTCTCTAGAGGACTGAGGTTGTCTACAAACTTGTGCAGGGACCCCTCTCCAGGTGTTTTCCAGTGCGCGCCTAGAATCCAAGAATTCCCTGATTAGCGACGAAGCTGCCTTTCAGGGAGTGACCAAGACTGGGTTCCGGCAGGACTGCGTCATGAGTACAGTGAGATGGAGCTGAGATGTGACTCAAGCACTCAAAGTGAAAATAAAAGTGATGTTTTGCCCCGAGAGGAGATGGATATCATTAAGACTGGGTTTTGTGGGGACAACTTGGCAAAGAAACCCTTCGTGAGACTTCACAAGGAATTTCAGGGGCAAGGGAGCCCTGGTGTGGCCATGACAGGAAAACCGAGGGTAAAAGGCATAGCTAGGCCTTCTTTAATCAATTTCAGGCTTCTTCCTTCCAGAACCATCAGTGCTCTTAACCTTTTTTAGGTCACATATTCCTCCAGGAATCTGATGAAAGTCTAAATCTACGTTCCCCAGAAAAACGCACAAAGCTCCGAAATGTTGCATGCAATGTCAGGAGCTTGCAGGACATTGGGAAGGCTGTGTATGAGCCGAAGGTTGCGGAAGCTTGTATCGGAGAAAAGGGGATGAAGTGGCCTGGTTCCACACCTCTGATGTCTGTGTTAAAAAGACCAGAGCACATCACTGAGGAGCCTGGGGCTCCTGCTCTGCACAGCAGCTTCAGTCTGAGCATCCAGTGGTGCAGGGAGGGGCAGTGCCCTGCATGGCCATTAAAGACACAGGCTCTGTCCCTCACCACCCATAGCTCTGTGACACGGGGCAGGCTGTGCTACCTCTTCCCCTCTACTTGTAGACTAGAGATAAAAAGGGCTGTGAGGATTCAATGAGATTGTGCATGTAGAGACACAGCCTTGAGCCTGGCACACGATGGGCCCCCCAGGCCGATTGCTACCGGGGTGACTGTTGTTGTTCTTAAAGGCTGGGCAAGGCTAAAAGCAAGGAAAGGGACCTGCTTGTACCTTTTGTCTGGAGTCGGTCCATCCAGGGCTGGGAGGAGGTTGACCAAACCGTGCTTCCCTGCTGGCTGGCTGGGAGGCAAATATTCCTGTTCTGTGGAAGGAAGCCATGAGGGTACCTACAGGGCCTGTCCTTCGATTGATGACCCATGGTTCCTGCCAGCTGGGACACTGCAGTCACCACCCAAAAGCTGAGCCCCCATCCCAGAACCCACTTCAGATCATTAGCAGGGTGACTGGAAGACGCAGCCAGGTTGGCCCTCAAAGGGCACACGGGAGCCTTTGGGTCTCCCTCTTCAAGGCCTTGGGCTGCCCAGCTGGAGAGGTGGGCAAAGCCCTCTGGAGGGCTTCTGGCACCCTGCCCAGTGGGGTCTGGCTCAGAACTGCAGGCCTTTGCAGAGGCCCAGGTAGGGCTGGCTATGGATGTGAGAGGAGCTGCTCTTCTCCAGCCCTGGTAGGCAGCCCTCTGGGAATCTGTGATGGGGCCGGAGCCCTGGGCAGGGCTTCTGGAGCCTCTTGATGCTACTGGACTGCAGGTTCCACTGAAGCATATGAATTCAGATGAGTCAAGAACTTGATTCCGGTCCCCTAGAAGGTTGGGGTGGGGCTGTCTCTTGGGATCCAGGATGAGCTCATCCTTCCTCCTTTGACCCAATCCTCTTCTCTCCCGAGGATGAGAGAAATAAAAGCCCAGACCCTAGAGGCACAGAAGCTTGCAGGAAGCATGCTGGACCAGCTCCAGGGTTCAGTGTGGACTGAAGCGGCCAGGCCCCAGCTCCCAGCATACACAGCCTTCCCCAAAGACCTCTCTGAGAAAGGGAAGAATGCTGGTTATGGGCGAAGGGGTGGATACAGGTGCACCAGAGGGCTCAGGGAAGGGGTCCCGTTCAAGGAAGTGGAAAATGAACCTTTTCCAGCCTTTGGCATTCTCTGGGCTTCTGATCCTTCCCCCAGGAGGGGTTAGAAAGGCAGAAAGTTGTCCTACAGCCTGTGTCATCACTGGGCTGTATGGGAAGAGTCTCCGAAGGAGATTTTACTTGAGAGAGGGAGCGGGAGGGAGGAAGAGAGACTGGAGAGAGAGCTTAGCCCACTCTTTTCTCTCTAGAAACAGATTTGAAACTGACTCAAGGCAGAGCTGGGGTTGGAGATGGGGTTGTTGGGGCTGCAGTTGGCCAGCCTGGTTGACAGGGAGGAGAGGGCACCTTTCTCCACCCGGGCTTCTTCTCACCTGGGCTGATCCATGGGTGGCAGTGTGGCCCAGAGGCAGCTCCCTGCACTGAGGTCCTGGGGCCTGGGTGCTCAAGTCTTCTCGTGGGACCCGAGCTCTAACATCTGTAGAATGTGCTTAGCAATTCTGCCTTTCCCAGGCAGAGCCGATGGGAGGATGGACAATGTCATGTTGGAGAGAGAACACTGGGCATCCATGCACCCGAAAACTGGGGGCCGTACTTTTCCTCCACCTCTTATACCCTCTCCTATCCACAGCACTTTGGGGCCAGTGAGGCTCTTCATCCATGAGCTCATCTCTGGAGGAGGCGGGCAGGGCTTACTCATCCATCTTACAGATGAGGAGACCGCAGCTTGAGGAGGTGGAGAGACTGGCTCAGGGGATTGTGTCCAGGCCTCCAGCACCCGGCATACGGGGAAGACTGCTGAGAGGGATTGCAACTGGTGCCATAGCTGGAGAACGTCCTTCCTCTTGCCCACTAACAAGGGAAGAGGAGCAGTGGCCACATGGGCAGGGGAACTCTGTTGTTGCTGATTTTTCAATCATGATTCCACCTCTAATATACTGGGCCATCCTGGGTGAATCATTTGCCCTTTGTGTGCCTCAGCTTTACCATCTGTAAAATGGGGATCATAATACCTCTGGAGATGCCTGCAATGCCCCTTTAGAGATGCCACCCTCTGTAGCCTCCCTCTGTGGAAAACACACATGGGAAATTGCAGACCCCCAGAACATCAGAATTGTAAGGACCATGGAGGTGCTCTGCTCATTGCATAGATGGTCTTTGCCTTGGTCTTTGGGAGTCAACACTTGGAGAGAAGTGGCTTGGTTTGTCCAAGGCCACAGGAGAGGCAGGGCCTGGGCTTGGGGACTAGATGATGTGCAGCGACCAGAGGCCAAAGGATGGGAAATTGAGGGGCAAGACCTCAAGGAAGGGGTAGCAGGAACAGGGAAGGGACAAGCTTTCCTCCCTCTCCTCCAAGCCATCA